GTGCATTCCTGCTTGCACGCTCACAGCTATGGATGATTTTATTTGTATTAAATGAAATGAACAGGAGGGCATCAACCTGTGGTTGTCTTGCATAATTTCAACCAAACTTAGTATATGACCAAACTAAAATTTAATTTTGTAGTACAAGAAATAAAGGTACTTTATACATTCACAAGAAGTAAACCCATTGCACCATGCATAGAAATGCAGATACCCAAATACAGTGAATTACGTGATTTTCCTGTTTGGGGTAGAGGCTATTAAATTCATACTGCTGGATGCAGCTCTCTAAAGCTCTTCTGACCTTGAATGCTGATTTACTCATAAATTGTTCTTTGCACAAATAAACTTTTAAATTTAATTTAAAGTTTTAAAAAGCTAGAAAGATTAGGTCTAGAGGAATGAACCTTTGGGCAGATTTTATATATATACATATATATATCAGTAATTTGTATGTTGTTGAGCAGTTTAAGTGAAGAGACTATGTCTCACCTATTTTAAATCCAAACATCCAGGATAACAACTGGCATGTAACAGTTGCATTAATGCATTCTCTTCAATGCCCAAAAGTGTTTTATATTCATATTATCCTTGGAGTCTACTTCTTACCCAAAATTTGCTAGTACATTTTAATTTGTATTCATCTGGTTTGTCTTAGCCACTCTTTTTCAACTACAAAATAATAACTATGAGCTTTCTTTTAAGAACACACAAAAATATGACATACATGTTGAAAAGATAGCCAAGGATACTACTCTCCTGACTTTGGGAATATCAAAGGGAATAACTTGTTCTTTTAAAGTAGAAAAACCAATTATGACATCAAAAACTCCTGGCGTTTTTCTTTAAAGAAAACATGATGTTTTAGATAAGCAGGATAGCACCGCAGTTTATCTTTCACAGAACTTCAGGTTTTAGTTTAATTCCGGACTCTCCTCATTTCTTATTTTGCCTTGTCTGAAATGTCAATTACTTTAGACATAATCTGCATCTCTAGCCAGTATGTCAAATAACTGAAAAGCCTTTCCTAAGGAAAACTTATAACACCTCTTTTCTTTAAGATGACCTTAAAGTAGCAAAATGTGGGTGCAATTAATTGATTATGAGCATTTGCTATAAATTTAAAGAACTGAGATCTTAGACATTACAGAAAGATGGACTCTCTAATTTTGGTGACTTGCCTCTGTATTTCTGGATGACAATTAAGGGTTAAACTGGTACAAATGTAGGAATAGTTTCATATTCTCTGCTAGCTCATGTGCTAATCTGAAGCAGTATTAGTAGGTATGCACTTTTAAAATAGACTCCTGGAAATTCTCAAATTCTCTGAAAAATATACTTTATTATATAGTGTAAAGTTCACACATTTTTTAACCTCAAAATGTGGTCTTTCCAGCATGTACCTTTGTAAAATATTGTTATAGTGTTTTTTATTTCATTGACGTTTGCTATATCTTGACTGAATGAATTGATAGATGCATTCTTGTAACTTTTTGAGGTGGGGGCAGAAGATTCCAAAGTGTTTTCATTTTACCATGAATAAAATGAAGACAGAGACCAAGGAAGCTAACAGACTGGGGTCCTCAGCATAACTAGGATCAAAGAAGAGCTTGCCTATTTGACTTTGTATCTACGAAAGAGTCTATGAGTTATTCAAGAAGATGGCAGAAATGTAACAGGTGGTTCAATAAATGGAACCAGAATTCTTGAACTTTTCTCAGGAATTACTAGCTACATTTCAAGAAATATTTGCTTACAGATGCCATTTTGTAGTGGAGAGGTAAATAATCTCTGGAGCAAATCACTCATTCTTCATAAAGAGTACAGAGTTGCCTAATGAATCTGTAATGTGGACACTGATCACTAAAGAAAGTTAGGTAGGAGTGCAATACAAATGGAGTTCTGATCACAGTGATTTGTTTCCATGTATAGATTCATATATTCATGGAAAAGTTTCATATACTATGTACTAGGTAAAGTAAGCTTGAGCTTGTCTGAAGACCATATTTCCATGCTTATATATTCATTTCAATAATTTTGATCACCTGTTGTTTCAGGCACAGGGTAGTGTTATGAATATAACAGCACACAAAACTGACATAAATTCACCCACTGAGCTGACAGTGTAAAATGCCACTTACTTGGAAAAATTACACAAAAGTGTACTATTATAAATTGCTCAAGTTTTGAAGGAGAGACAGAGATTTATATAAAGACAGAGAGAAAGAGAGCAAGGGAGAGGGGAGAAAGAGAGAGAGAGAGAGAGAGAGAGAGAGAGGAATTATATAATAGGGTCCTGATTTTTCTCTTTCAGAGAACTTCTCTGAACAAATGCAATTTAAGCTCAGATCTAAGATGACCAGAAGTTAATTAGGCAAAATATAGAAAAAAGCCTTTTAACTCAAAAGCACATATGAAGCGCTCGAGACAGGTAGAGATATAATGCTTTTGTGAATAAAAAGTATACTGAGGGCATCAAAAAGAAGAGTGAAATGAGATGTTCAAGAGGCAGGCAGGTGCTAGATCATGCAGAGCCTGACTTTGCAATTTATCCTAATGCAAAAGGAGAGAAAGATTTGATCTGTATTTTAACAGATCACTTTAGCTTCATTCACAACAAGGTATGAGGCCACCAGGGGAAGCGGTGAGAACAATTAGGAAGCTACTGGAGGTAGGAGATGATGGGCTTTGATTAAAGGGATAGAAATAAAAGTAGAAGGAAGTGAGCAGACTTGAGATGTTATTTTGGGGGCAGAATCAATAGGACTTGAAGATAGACTCAGTGATGGGGGTGAAGGAAAATAAGGTGGTAAGCATCACATTCAGGTTTCTGGCTTAAGAAGCAGCATAGATGAAGATATTATTCACTGGGTTACAGATTTTATAAAGGAGGAGCTAAGTGGGATTAAATGAAGATTTTTGATATCATTGTCTTAGTAAGAAGGTCTCTAAAATGGGTACATATATCTATACGCGTGTGACTTTTTCCTAGAGAGATAAGATAAAGGAGAAGACAGTGGGAAAAAGAAACTAAGTGGGGGAAAAGAGACAGAATTAGAATGAGCAGAAAATGGGATTCCTAAAGTTGTGGGGATAGTAGATGTGGTTTGGGGACTGGTACATATCAGAATTGCTGAAAGCATGCAATTTGAAAAGACATGTTGAATACAGTACCATAATATTTTGATTAAAAAATAAATAAGCCTTATAGTCTCCATAATAGAGATTATAGAAAGCAGGGTCAAAAGAAACAAATCTGATGGAGTCATCCCAGAGTTAGACCCTGCCAGCTGTTTATTGGTGAATATTTAAGGAGGAATGAACCAAGATCCCCAGTAGGGCAGCAAGGAATCAATGTAAAACTAATGTCCATAAAAAAGACTATGGCTTAAAAAGCTCATTGACAGTGAGACAGAAAAATAAAAAAGTTAAAAAATGATGCTGGAGAAAGATAAAGAGAAATGGGTGGAGATTTTCCAGTGAGCGAAATGTCTCTGTCATCATGCCAGTATCGACTGATGGAGTGATATTCTGCTGGTTGAGCTGTCCTGGGTGTGAATCCCGGCTCTACCACTTACTAGTGGATAATCTTGATTAAATCAGGTAACTTCTCAAGACTTCACTTCCTCATTTATAAAACTAAGATACTGCTCACATCTATCTCAACAAGGTAGCTTTGGGAGTGAAGGTAATAATTCCCAAAGAGGTGCTTTAACAAAATGCTTGGCATAGAGGAAGAGCTCAGTGCACATTGCCTGTCTGTATGCAGCTGTAGAGATGACTACTTTCTCAGTTCCCTGTGGCTATGGTAGCCAGGTCTTCCAAACTGTACAGTTCCAGCTGATTGGACAGTAAAAAAAATTGTGTTTATGTCTAGAAATGTTAGCTATAACTTAAAGTTTTTTACCTAATCCTCTGAGAGAGATCAGTAATTGACTTCTAAGCTAATTATCTGAAAACATGAAAAATAAAGATGATATTCTATAAAGATCCTTTTGATATTCTGTAAAGATCCTTTTGATATATCTACTCTTCACCTTAAATCATTCCAAATCCCTATATTCTCAGTTATAACAATATTCTGAAGATATTGAGCCTGAAAACAGACAAAAACAGCACACACTTGGTACAGGAGTATTACTACTGGGCTCTCTATTTAGATGGAATTGAAAGTGCCTCGTGGAACACTAGATTCTACCTTCTGTTCTCTCCGACTCTGGCTACTACGAGAAAAATAGACTTTTTATTATTTATCACACATATGTGTTAGGATATTAATTCAGAATTGTGCCCAGTATTTAGAGTAAGTGGAATTTGCTTACAAAGTTATTATGGAAAAATGCAGAACATTCTAAGGTTAAATTTGAAACGACCAATTGGCAAGATCATGCTGAGGGAATTGCCTTAACCTTCCTCGACCTTTACATCTTTACATAGGATGGGATCAATTAAATAAGAACATATGTAAAAGCCTAGCACATAGCAAAATACAAATACTGTTTATGTTGACTGTCATTAGTTAGAACCAATTAATTAAATAGTTTTAGGAAAGTGGTTTAATTCCTCAAGGAGCCAGTTATATGGTGACTTTGATATTTTAGTTAACATATTCAATGACAGTAATAGTATTTACTTATTAGTCCATGTTATATGTGAAGCACATCGAACATTTATTAAGTATTATTTAAAATACTCAGTAGATGCTCTTTCATCCGTCTAGTGGAGGAAATGGTGCTGGAACAATATAACAAACTCCCCATCGAAATATGAGAATCAAGAACATGTGAAGCTCTAGGTGATCACGCCCAAAGAGCTTTGTGATTACAGCGGGGACAAAAGGCCATGTTCTTAATTTCTCCCATTGCACCACAGAAGCAGAACATCTTTCCACGAGGAAGATGTTGAGTACAAGAAAAGCGAGCTGAGGCGGATTCCACCCATCCATCCTTGTGGAAGCACATGCAATTGGAGAAGATGAAGTGAGGAAGCGCATGCAGTACCTGGTCATCTCAGAGTCAGGGAGCAGGCCTAGGTGGTAGTGGGGGTAGGGAGCTGAGAGAAGGAAGCTTTTGTCACACTCAACAGGGGAATAGTGCCTGGGAGAAGCAGGCTTATCACACAGTTTGTTCACAGTGCTGTAAACTGGTTCCGGAGGCCTGGTGATACAAAGAGGAAGAAAAAGATGCATAGTTAGCACACAGCGGAACAACTGTGCATCCAGTATACAAAAGCAAAACTCAAACCAATGCCATTTTCTCATTGTGTCTTATTAGTAGAAGCCAAATTTCCCGCTGGTTATATCTGATACACTTATTTATTATTTATACACTTACTGACTTCATTCTTTAGCCTCACTTGTGAGTAGATATGGCCCTATAAAAATGTTCTGTATAATGTGATCTACACAGAGGGGTTTCATGGAATAGCTGTGGATAGGGAAGTTGATTAGCTGCGGCCTCTACAATCATCTCCTTCTGAGTTCCTCCCTCTGCTGACTTGAGGCCCAAACACGATAGGATGGCTCATGCTTCAGTGACTATCTTGGACCACAAGGATAACTAAAGGACAAAGGCAAACCATACAGATGGGGTTGTGAAGCCATCCTCACTGATGATAAGCAGTGATTCTATACTGCCTCAAAATACCTACCTTTGGATTTCCTTCACATGGGAGAAGAATATACTATCTAGATGAAGGCAGTGTCACTTTTTGTAATATGAACAGGATCTAAGGTTAAGATACACATCTGTAAAAGTTAATACTGCAGCTTTAATACAAAGAAATAATAATTACGTTAATACATGACCAGAGAGCTCATAGATCCTAGAGTAAAACCTACTCTTGCCACATTCTTAGACCTATGAAATTTCTTCTTCTAAAAATGCATCCTTGGGGCTGGAGAGATGGCTCAGAGGTTAAGAGCACTGGCTGTTTTTGCAGAAGACCTGGGTTTGAATCCCAGCACCCACATGGCTGCTAACAACTGTCCATAACTCCAGTTCCAGGGGATCTGACAGCTTCTTCTGTCCTCTGCAGGCATTGCACGACACGGGTGCACTTACCTACATGCAGGCAATACATAAAACACACAAAAATAATAAATAAAATATATTTTTAAAAAATGCATCCTCATACATACAGGTAAGTGTACCTTTTAGCCCTCATCAAAGAAGCTTCTTTTTGCAACAAATAGAGATTACTACAGAGCTGCAGAACTGGTCAAATGCAGAACTGTCTGTGAGGCATTCCACCCTAAGTGACACATCTTCAATGCAACCTCTACATATAGCATCTCTCAACTCTCACCAGAGAAGTTTCTTTATGCAACAGATGGTGATTAACACAGAAACCCACAATAGGCCAATGTCCAGAGAAAAGGAGGCTACAGAGTGCTTATCCCTGATTAGGGCACTTATTTCAAACCTATGTCTCCCAAGGTTCAGGGAACATTGTGGAAGAGGAGAAGGTAAGAGCCAGAGAGGGTAGATGACCACCCTCTACAGGGAAGAAAACCCTCTACAGGAAGGAAACAGGGTCTTCCAGACAACTGGTCAGTTACTCATATGAACTCACAGCAATAATGACATCATGCACAAGTCCTATGCAATCTCAAACCAGTCAAATCCCAGCATAGACATGGGGAAGTGGCTAAGAAATTCCAACTCAACCTAAGGAACTTTTGGCAATTGATGTCTTCTGGGAGGGGAAAAGACAGTGTCTTACAGGGATGGGATGATTGGTGGATTCAATGGGTGGACTCACTCTGAAGGAATTTTGGGGACACAAGTCAGACTCTATAGGCTCTGTGTTACCCAAAGGCTTATAAGTACAGAGATATAGTTACTAATAATGCAGATTCATTGTCTCCTATTGTTTAATCTGTTATTCATTCTTTCCTTATTTTTATTTCTTTTTATAGTTACTTGCTAAAGAGTAGATAGATCTAACTCAGGTCTTTTCTTGGTTGTAAGAACACTTGATACCTCTGTAATGCGGCATCATGCCAAAAACCAAGACATAATACACTTGACTAAGACCTCCTGAAAACAACTAAATTGAAACAATAGTAAGAACGGGATTTATCTTTGAAGATTTCATTTAATAGCTTCATTAAGAGTTCTAGAACTCTATCATGCAGTATGTACCAGGTAGGTCTTAGCATAAAACACAGTAAATGCTATACAAGCTATACTCTGATCATAGGCATGTGCATAGTATGAATTGAACAAATGTTTATTATATCAAGGGATAATATTCGTTCTTTATGGAGAGAAATAGAAATTTTGTTTCTTTGAAGAAACCTTAAGTTATTCTGAGTCTCTTAATTAGGTTGCATTTCTTAGACCACCATTAATTCCCAGGTTATAAGGAAGGATGAAACTCTAACATTGTCAGTTAGGAACTCAAAGAAAAGTTTTTAAGTACTTGAAGTGCAGGGCTCATCTACCCCTGGGAGGATGAAGCCCTGTGGTTAGTCTCTGGCCACAGTGTCTGCTCATAGTGCTTGTTAAGAGTCCTTCTCCATGGGCATCATGCTCCTCAAAGACATCTCAGTCCTGAGTTCCAGAAGGTCTAACACCAGAAGGCAGCATCTTAGTCCTTCCCTGCAGTTATGTCCTCTGTGACCTCTGCAGAAAGGCAAGAAATGCCAATCACTGTCACTGAGATTTGCGTGGTTGGAATAGATGTCACCATCATCTCCCATGAGGTCAGTAAAGTATTATAGTGGGGACATAACCTCCTGCAATGTAAATCAGCCATTCACAGTAGAAAGGCCCGTTTATCTTGTTATAAGCTCCCAAAGTCAGAGGTAATGAATATGGAAATCCAACCAAGGTGCCTACTGGTGTTCTTTTTAAAAAAAATATTTTATTTATTATTTTTATTTTACGTGTATGAGTGTATTGCCTGCATGTATGTGAATGCTCCCATGTTGTGCAATGCCACGGAGGTCAGAAAAGGGCACCAGATTCCCCTGGAACCGGAGTTAAGGACGGTTTGTAGCCGCCATGTGGGTGCTGGGAATCGAACCTGCATCCTCTGTAAGAGCAGTCAGTGCTCTTAACCACTGAGCCATCTCTCCAGCCCTGTACTACTGGTATTCTTTATTCTCTGGATGTTCTCAGGAAAAGCAGAGGGGTAGTTGAAGACATCACTGAAGTCTCTAAGTGAATTTATAAACACATAATTTCTCCTGGTGTCCACTTATCAGGGGCCATAGGAAAATGACTTCTTGGTCTCATCTGCTGAGCCATCAGCATTTATTTGCACATCTATGGATTTATAATTGCAGGCTCTTGTAGCATATAATTAACACAACCCTGGCCCTTGGTAAGCTCTCTTTTCTCTGAATTCCATTAGTACTTGCTATTTGCCTTGCTTCCCTTGCATTTTAAACCACAAAAACACAATTATGGTATACTGGAGAGAGATGCTTTATCTGTAGATAAAACTGAGAAAAACCATCCTGTCTTTAACTGCTCCCTTCCCTGAGTATTTGCAGTGCAACTCAGTCCCCTGCATAGCAAGAGCAACTCTGACCATTAGACCTTAACTGAATCCCTTGCTCTGAGGTCATGATCTGTGTGGTAGAGATCAGAAGAAAAAGAGGAAAGAAAAAGCAACAAAACAGGACTAACTTAGCAGGATTCTCCAATGGGATATGGATGAGATGAATAAAGATAAAAAGAAAATAGCTGGAGTAGAAGGAAAATATGCAGACACACAGAGGGTCACTGGAGAGGCGTTTGCTAATTGTAGAGAACCAGAATGAAGCTCTATCAAAAATTGTTGTCAAATGTGCACAGGTTAACAGCCAAGGTTCATCCTAGAATAACAATCTAGGTTCATTCCTTAAGGCAGCCTAGATAAGGATGTAGGCTATTGAACTTCCCTGATGGTTCCCCTGTGACATTTGTTGTATACTGAAAATCAACTACCAACCTTCCACCACACCACAGCTTAGGTCGCATCACTTGTTTGCAATTAAGAGAGAAAACAAAATAGGTACTTTGTTATTTTTACCTTCCTTTCAGCTGTCTGAAAGTAGATTATGCCACTTAAAGAAATTGGTGAACTCTTAACCTGTATGTAATACCCCACCCAGTACCTGAGACCCGTACCAAATTGATCTTGTCTTTCAAACTTTCATATTTTATTCATTATTAGTTCTTTTACATTCATTTTATATTTAAATATTGCATTAAAATGCCACCATCTGAAATACTGAGTTTTGTTGTGACTCCTTTAAAATTTTACCTGGTAGGAATGTCTCCTGTCTACTCTGAGTCCTTAGTCTCTGTAGTAGAGAATAAGTACTGATAAGGACGACTGGGCTTGTCAATACTTTTCACGTACGTGCACCTGAAGGTACGGAATCAAAGGGATCTGACTCCTTTTTTTCCTCAGAGGAGGCAGTGAGATGATCTCACACTTGACTGAGTTTTCCAACTCGGAGCAAAGCCCTCAAGCTGTCTCAGGCAGGGACTTCACCTAATTGTAGTGTCATATTTGGTGCACAGGGCTGTTTCTTTCTCTAGAGATTAACTCCTAGAGGATGAGGACCAAATCTCATCTATCTTTGTTTTCTTGACTGCAATGGCATATGAAAGAAAATAAGAGGAGCTTCGACAGAAAAACAGCTAGAACTTTTTATCCTCTTTGAGCCAGAAGTAACAAGGAAGAATATAATGGTATGGTAGGAAACATGTGGCCTCTATGTTACTGTGCCTTTGAGCATGCATCTCTGCCCAATATGCTGACATGGGTAAAGCTTTAAAGCATTTGGATTCTCCAGCTGTTATCTTGCTATGGTCTTCCATGCCTGCCCTGATGGAACTTCTGCCCCATTCCCTGTACTAAGAGGGTGTAAGACATCAGTGATTACAACTAGGGTGTCAAGGACTCTGTTGACTAAGCATCTAGTACATCATCTGACAAATGTGAAGGAAAATGTATCTAAAAGTTAAAAGGATATGACATCATCCTGTTTACAAATAGTGCACTGTTTATTAGTCAAATATTTGTGAGAGTAAGTGTAAGAGATTTGAAGCCTGGGTTGATTGGGTTTAAGGGCAGAGTTTTGGAAAGCTCTGAACATAATTAGGGCATAAAGAGAATATAGGATATGTGCATCAGTGAATGAGATGACCTTTTA